CTGCGGTATCACTCTTACCACCGAAGGCTGAAGTTGCTGGGAATTTTCAGCGGACGCTATCGAAGGCTGCGCGGCGATCTCATATTAGCGTATCAAATATTGAGTGACCCCAACCACGTATGCCGCCATTTGCTGAAACTTAGCCACAACACGCAGCTCAGGGGTAACTGCTTAAAGTTGAAGGAACAATATAGCCGTCTAGAGTGTCGACGGAATTACTTTTCCCTTCGAGTTTGCAAACCATGGAACGCACTCTCAGACTCAGTAGTATCCTCTCCTACCCTGGATGTTTTCAAAAAACGATTAGATGTTGCCCTCAGCTCCCAACATTTTGTTACCTAAGCTCCTCTGTTGTGGATTACGCCAAGCATGTTTTCAACAGGACTAATGTATCAAATGGACCTAAGTGAGCGACCATATTTTATTTTCTCACTCCTTACCTCAACTATCACTGCGCCCCAGTGTCTTTCTGAATGTTTACGCGCGATATTTCTTTTTCATTTCACACTGATGTTAATTATCAAAGTATTCATCTCGGCAGACGTTCGATAGATGACCCACACATATTTTAATTGCATCATATTCACCGCTACCATCCTACGGGACATGTCAAGCACTTGCTTTTATCTCGTGATAAATCATTGTTCATTGTTCATTTAACGGTAGACCTCAAACTGCCACTTGGGTTACTGTATGTCGATATATGCGCAGTGAATTGCCATTTATGGTGGCAGTTTTCCTGTCTCACCATTCACTCACCCGGAAAGTTACAATTGCGACTTACTTCGCACAGGGATATCAAGGAGACTTCATCCACCATGTTTTCGCTCAACTGCTGTAGGTTGGAGTGCAAAAATGTTGTGTACCGTCGGCCCTCATCGTTGGACTTCTGCTTGATGTAGAAGAGTAGGGAGACGATAAAGAAGTCAGTGGTTAATGTAGGCTTCAATAAATCATCCTTAGGAGGTATGACGAAAAGCGGATAAAAGTCCCGGCAAGGTTACATTTTGCACTCACTGAAATTGTATTTGGACTGTTTTCTTGTAAATAAACAAACAACGGTTTGTTGGTGACGATCCATTGAACAATGTGCAGGATGCATTGAGAAATGTTAGTGGAAAAGGTGTTATTCTACGGACGGTCAAGCTCAGGTCCAAACGCAGTAATACGCTTACCGAACAGAGACAAGGATAGCTTCAGCGAAATTTCCAAACTTATTGCAACCCAGAGATTTGTTAGAAGAAAAAGTATATTATTCTTAAGTTTGGCGCGAATCGTGCAGTGCATAGGAAGTAGCAGTGAAAAGGATGTACGTTAAATGACGAAAATGTGTAAATTGTTCTCTAATAAATCCTAGAAGTTGAGCTTGAAATATTCCTCTTGTACGGCCTAGAACAGGGAGAAACCTTAGAAACGGTTATTTGGAGCCGACGTTAAGCGGAAATTCGTTGGAAGATTTCAGACTATTTGGAGGCCATTTTGAGGCACTCGTGTGAATGGATTGTGTCGAGCAATCTCAATCCAAGCCACGATTCACTTTGAACTGAACTCCAGTCAATTCGGTCACTTTACTGGTGGCCGATACGTGGGTGTGTGTGGATAGTCCCGAGTTCCAGTCCCGTTCTACCTGACGAGTACAATCAAGTGCGAAAACGGTTGTACACTGCAGTGTTGCATGCTAGTAGCATCCAATATTTACCTTTTAAGATGCTTCTTAGATATCATAGGTAGACATTTGCTGAAATAGCGTATCCCTACTCAGAGAAATCAGGTTGCGTGGATAGTATACCTATAAAGCGAATTCGAGTGGCAAGCTTCACGAGCCGATATTATTTAAATGTATATATGGAAATTATTCATATTACCAAAGGCGATAGTCCACGGCTGGAGTCGATGGGTCCTGTTGAATCCATAACGGTTGTTATCTTCGATTAAAGGAATGTGAACTGCTAAACATAGCATGAGGGAAGCAGTGCAAGTTCTTCTTTCCAACCACGATATTGTGAACAAGTTACGTAGAATGTTTATTGTCATTAAATTTTCGGATTATGGGTGACGGGTGCTTTTCTTATCAATAGTATGTGAGTGAAACACTTCACTTAATCTAGTTAGACAACAACCACTGAAAACGCCAAGTTACTCAAGCTTGCGGAGGCTGTGGCAATTAATCACAGCCGTCCGGACCAATGTGCGCAAAAACATTTGACTCTCGCCCTCAAGCTTCCTTGGGGATGGTGACAGTTGTCTCAAATGTTGTGACCCTGTTTGAGTTCATGCCCTTATGTTTCCTCTATTCCCATTCTAACACCATTTAAATCATTGATTTCCCCTTGCGTGATAGTTAAATGTCGCTCGTTTGCATGTAATCACAAAGCGCGAAATGATATCATCGTGCAACGTCCGTCTCCTTATTGTATTATTCGGACTGATACAAGGAACCCAGTGCTTCAACAACCACTGACTCGGAAAAGCGTAAGACGGACGCCTCGCCTAACTGGAATACTTCGGAAGTGCATGATTCAGTAGAATCGAAATCGCGAAGACCATGTGACGCATCCCATCCTCGCCCCTCTCTTTTTCTAATAACAATATTCTGAGGGGATTTGACGGTTGCTAACTGGTTAATCGAGTAATTCTACTGTCCTTCGGTGGCTCTAACGACTGAGAAACTTTAATTTACCAGCTGAACAATTCGTATTCGCTCACTGGACCATATGGAGCAAGCTGGAGTTAACGTCACATCCAGTGTCCTTTGTTGGATTCCGCATACATCTACTTTCAGCGTACCACTCACCTTGCCACGCAATTCCAGGTCATCAAGACCAATCTGCACTGCTTATCAGGAGGCGCTTCTTGCATTGCTGGAGGGTTTACTTGAGCCGAATGCAAAATCAGCCAGCAAACATGTGCTTACCGTTAGGGATAGGAAAGAGGAAAGAATTCTGTTCTCGTCAAATCTGGTCAGTCTGCCTAGGACTCCTTGGAGGACGCTGACCAAATGCTCCATAACGATGACCAACATGGTGCGCTGTACGCCCTCGAAGAATTCTTCCGTTTCAATGTGGAGCTGATTCTGAAAGAGACAATAAAGGTTTTGGAAAGCATTCGGTCATGCACCTTTCCAGTTACAAAGTCAACTGCTCAACTCGTATAATTCTCGTCGTTACAACGGTAACCTCTTCATATGTCTAGGACAATCAATACTACCAATCTACACCCATCCTTAGACCGTGCTAATGATTCCACTCGGTATAGGTTACTATGGCTGATACCACACCAACTCTGCAATGGTTGCGTCCAAAACACCCGTACATCTGTGGATTCCGACCATGTACTCATGTGTTTCTCCGCGAGTGCGTTTCGGCGGACATCCGCGACGACTCTATGAGCGCATAGACACCCGCCAAATGGCGAAGCCAAATGCACTGGGTGCGCACCAAAGTACGCTGGCATCTGAAACAAGTATGCACTCACTGAGCACGGTTGACTGCCACTGGTCACATGTTCGCCAGACGTTAATAACGGCAAGTGTCTTTCTGCGGCGTATCCAATTGGCAGCATGGGCACAGGGTCTCTACACAGTCTCTGGAACTTCTCGAGGCTTGCTATCTCATTCCGGCTAGAGGCGAACACGACACTCATAAAAATCTCAGCATAAAACTGCCTACTAGGCAGAAAAGAGAGCGCAAAACCTGGCGGTTTCTTTGTGCATCGAAAATGGTAACGGCCGCTGCACTTGGTAACCATCAAAATTTATTCCGCCTTATAAGGAACTAGGGGCAGCTGGAGACCTGGTGTCAGTGAAACTATGTGTGACGGGAGTGGACAGTCTATGCATAACCTGTCAAAATGTCTGAAACTCTAGGCTGAACGTTTTGAAAAGCAGTTTGACCGTTCGGAACTACGAGATACGCTACGAACCAGTGATTGCCATTCTGCCGGGGCCCTCCTTTTGGATCCACCCTCTCTCCTAGAAGTCGAACTGGAGATCACACTGTTGAAATGGTATAAGGCCGCAAGACTATATGGGTTTACTCTAGTTCTCTCCAAATTTGGGACATCTGCTCTTGTCTACGAACTGCAAAATTTATGATGCAACCATGGGAGCAGAAAACTGTTCCAACCGACTGCAGCTGCTCTGCTATCATCCTGATTTGCAGCGGAGGTTCACGTTCGGAATGCGGAAGTCATTGAGGTACCAGTCTGGCCTCTATCACCTACAAGTTACTTACCACTTTCGTTTCTCATTGACTGCCTGGCACCCATGAGATCCAAATTCGTGAAGAGCGAACCAGGTTGCTTCGAAGTCGAGCCTGCATTACCCACATCTCCGTTATGTCAATCTTGAGCACCGTCACACATACTGGCGACCCTCGATATCTACAGTGTCTTCGGTTCGGTGGATCGGTGTGCAACTTGGGACTGCTTGATTAGGAAAAGTGTGTCCAAGAAATACGCAAACATTATCAGAGCGCGTAGTGATGTCTTCACCACCATTCAATGACTCTAGCGGTGTGAGGCAGAATGCCTGTTGTCGCCTTTCCTTTCAAACTTCGCCATTGACGTAGTTGAAAACTGCGTTCACTGGACACGACTTAGAAGGTGTGGAGTTGTTCCCAGATGAGTGACTTCTTGACTTGTCGGATGCCAACTATATTGCCCTCATCTGTGACTGCTCACAGACGTGTAAAGCAATACTGGACAGATTGGCACTGGCTGTCAGTCATTTCGGGCCCCGCTTTGCGCCATGCAAATGCAAAGCTTTCTCCAACATTGACACTGAACCTTGTTGGGGATTAGTTGGAAGTCCTTCAGAAATTCAACTTACTGGACAGTTGTATCATCGCCTGTGGGATAGATGAGATCACGGACGGCATAGCAAAATGTCGAGGTGCTTTTGCCAATATTCGTCACTCGTTTGAAAAGTTGTCTGCAACGTATCCGTCGTTCAACTCTTCTGTACGGTTGTGAAACGACCTATCCAGTCAACGGGTAGTTGCACTTGACCACCGGTGTCTTCACAGTTAGCTTTACATCTGGTGGTAACATTGCGTGAGCAATCAGTGTGTTTGGTCTCTTGTTTACAGCGCAGGAAGGGGATTTGAACTGCACAGCACCGTTAGTTCATGAACCGGGCTCCGAATGCTGCGTCACGTGTTACGCATACCAAGATACCTACTCTCGCGACGCTTTTTGCTTGTGCGTCGGGGGTCTGAATGGAAGACGAGGAGAAAAGACCACCCGTTGAGTTGGTCAAGAGAAATGAAAGCCCTCACTTTGATGTTGACCTCGATCGGAGCAGTTTTGACTCCCTTGTTGTAGTCCGAAAGATGAACACCTTTGGCCACTTGTTGACATAGCAAAAAAAAACCCGTGGTATTTGTGTTGTGAGTTTTGTCCTTCCACATCCCGCTTAGCCTTCGCCAACCACGATCTCACTACTGAAAATCCATAATAATAAAGATGCTAATATTACTTGTTCCTATTTTGCGTGTTTTTTCCGTATCACTGCATTTCATTTCAGTACAGTAGCTCAGGTATTTCTCACCTCCAGCTAACGCGCAGCGTAAACACACGTGTGTCTGCTAAAGCACCAGGCTAAGGTTGAACACCAGACAGTTAGTTGAATTCCGACTACGTGCTGTCAGACACAACGGAAACTCGCATAAATCGAAGCAAACCTGACTATGTACAAGTCCGAATAAAGCAGTGTTTAGTTCTGTGGATAAAGCGAGTAGGAACTAGGTGGAGATAGTATGCCTTGAATCTGAGGCCATTAGAATAGTTGGTGAAACCTCTACAGATTTGACTACTGGGTCACGACGAGCATCACTTTGCACAACGGTTAATGACTGACTCGAAGGTCAGATAAGGTACTCGTTCTGTGAACGGATTGCGGCACACAATCTCCATGTAGGCCGCGACTCACAGTGAACTGAAGCTTGATCAATGCGATCATTGGGATCGTAGCTGAAGCAGATGGGAATTGGGTGTTGCCTGTCCGAAAACACTGCACACCAACGATGCGTCTCGATCTTGTTTGATCTCATTATGAGGAGATAATATGCCAAGCGATGCCCCTAGTGACCCGAGTCAAAGGGTAGATGTTTCGGCTACTATTCCAATGGTCTCGCTTTCGAGGCCCGCTATCTCCACCTTATGAGATTAAGCAACATCGGAAGGCGTCGTGGTTGTGCAGTGTTTTCTGGCGGGCAACACCCAATTCCCATCTGCTTCAGCTATGGCCGAGCGCTCACATTGACCAAGGTTCACTTCGTTGTTATTCGGAGTCCACCATAAGATTGCGCTTCGCAATCCACTGTTACAACGAGTACTTCAAATTACCATCCAATGAGTAGCAAACAGCTTTCCGAAGATAGCAAAACTCCGCATGTTAAACGGTCAGACGTAAATTTTTAACAAGAATGTGCAAGCCACACCAATTTGGACATTTGGTATTGTTGCGTGCCTGAGTATCCAACCCGCACCAAAAGAAACCACGCATACCGAATCAGCTCACGACGGCCGCACTCACTGTGCTATGTACTTACATGTTTTGCAGTGCGCCCGTGGCTTTTCGCAGCCATTCCCGTTCATCCCCTGCTCTGCCGTGTTTGCCATATGTGATCGGTTGCGGTAACGCAGGGCTGTTCATTCCATTCCGCCAACAAGTTGGCCAACGAACGATAACGCACAGGACGCTTGTCTTTCAAGGCGGCGTGGTGGTTCGAGTACCTGTCTCGACCGACATTAAGCTACAGCTAACTCACTCCCCGATTGGCGTTAGCCACTCATGTCCCCGAAAATTGGCGAAGCTCCATAGGCGAATCACCAAGTGGTAACTTCAATCAGAACCGCTTCCAGACCGTTCGTAACTCCCACAGTGGATGGTCTCGTTAATCCTCGTGCGAGTAGAAGCATTGGAAACCAGGCTTCTTACTCTACTCTGTAACAGGTGCTGAACTGGCCACACTTCAGTATTTCGTCAGGTAGTGCAACAACTGCATACCGTGTTCAGTTTCTTGTGTATGCAGAATCCTTTCTATTTTATGGACCATAAGTGTCTTTAGCCCCAGATCTTCTTGGATGGGTTGACATAGCGAAATGCCGACCTCCGTGACGTTTTTATTCTAAGTCTGTCTGTGCCTTCCCATTCCACTCCGTCTCTTTCCAGCCACGATCTCAAGCTCGACGCCTAGTGTAAAACAAAGCGCACTATTTTTGTTCTATGTTGCCTTTATTTTCGGATTTTATTTGCCATGTTCTTTTACTAGCATCCAATTGTATTGTATCGAATTATGTTTTCCCATTGGCCAACGTGTAGAATGATGAGACTGAATTTTACATAGCGTGGAGGATAGCTTTCCGTAGCAAAATATTTAGCATAACTATCAGTGGGCATATAAGATTATGTGAAGTCCCCTTCCTTATAGGCTATTTTCCTTTTCTTTTCAATCTTTGATCGAGATAGATGCACATGGTTTCATTCCATTTGAACTGTTTGAGCTGAACGTTCTGCCTGGTCACGGACTGATGAAATCACAAGTAGCCAGCGATCCGAAAAGGTCTCGAAGGCGATAAACAGCTCACCGGGTTGTTGCGACGGGCGTTCGGACAAATAGACATCTCTATTCTTCGACAGATGCTCAGTGCGTATGTTCGCCCCCATGTCGAATACACAGTTCAAGCCTGGCATCCATGGCTGAAACCCGATCTTAGCGCACCGGAGCAGTCTGAACGTCTGGCATCCACATACTTCATTGGAATGCGCAATCTCCCAAACGAGCAGGGGCTGAAACGATTGGGGTAGTCAGCGGACTACGTGGTGACCTGCTAATGGCTTACTTGATCCTGCACGATCCACATCATAGGTGCTGCTCCTTACTGCAACTCAACAGCAATACAAACTTGAGAGGCCACCCATTGAAGCTCACAGAACAGTATGGCTGTCTGGAGTACCGCAGGAATTTCTTTCCATTTGTGTATGTAACTCATAGAATGGTCTCCATGAATCGGTCGTCTGTGCATTGACAGTTAGATGACGCACTCATCCATTTACACTTTGTTACTTAGCACTGTGTCTCCATCCTGCTTCTGGAATACACCTTGTCTTTATTTGCTGTTACCTGTGGGTGCTATGAAACTAGGCGGATAGCAGGACTACAACGGAACAAACGATAATTCCTTCCTTTCAAACTTAAATTACTAACTGTTTTATCAGTATTTTTTCGATGGCTCCATCAAACTACACAACGGGACATGTAAAGCAGTACTTCTTAATCCATATAAATTCATTGTTTATTGTTTAGAATCACCCACAATGCAAGTGACTCCAAATGAGTTGGTGCACAGTGCTGCACGCCTCGGTGTACGCTTTCCTCCTCCATTGTGCAAGGCAGCATTCTGGTACTGATCCGATACACCACAAACCCGCATACTCATCGAGCGGCCTCTGTAAGCAACTGTAGTATAACGTGGAATCAAATCACTGGTTCACCGTGCGACCTGGTAAGACACGGTGAACTTTTAAGATATCAGTGGTTTATGCTAGTAGCTTTTCGACTAAGAGCTGCGTATACAGATTGCAGCAGTACCAACCTTACCGTATGGACAAGTTATGTAACTACCACACGTTAAAGATATCAAGGTATTTTCGGGTTTTGGAACACCCACCGTCTGTCTCTTAGATTGCGACACGCAATCTCATTAGTGACCTCGGCTGACTTTGAAGTCAGTCTCTGCCAATACGGTCACTGGGAGCGTCACCGAAGTGGAGGATTTCGGTGTGGCTCTCTCCTATCCCTGCACTCCACGACCGA